TCTCTATTCTTTGCCTCATCTCAACTCTTTCCACCCACAAGCAAAGGCCCCCCCGAGTTCCAGACAGAAAATAAGATGCTCACCAAGAGAAGTTGAAATCCGGTCTACAGGGCTAACAGGCTCCAAGTCCCTCACCCTCTCCGCAGTGGCAGCACCGGCTCCGGGACGACAGTCCTAGCTTAGGCGTCGCCATTCGGTGCTTGCCGTGTCCCTGTTTCCACTTCTTATCCTCGACTGTTCTAGGATAGAGCTCCAAGACACCAAGCGAAGGAGGGCTCTCTAAATCCCTCTCAGCATTCCCTGGGCCTTGGGGCACACCTGTCTGTGGGCGCCTTGGCTTTACTTATTCGACAATAGTGACACTTGCTGGAAGAATCAACCACGGTTCTGTAAGAGCCCATGGTAAGAGCGCGTTCCTGTCAGGCGTTGGCTTGCTTGCGTGATGTTTCCCAAGTTCAGAACAAAAGGAGATTTTCTAGAAACGATTCAATTCTTGATTTGTAGCGACTCCAAACTTTTACCGGTCTCCAGTCTATCCCATATCTTGATGAAACCAAAGAAGAAGGGGAAAAAAAAATAAGATAAGATACAAACCAGAATCAAAACCCTCCAGGAAACAAAGAAAGAATCCAGAAAACTGCAGTACAGCACTGTCTCGCCCAGCGGACGGGAAATAGACCCCAATTTAAACCCCGATTCTCACCGGAGCACTCCTGCCTTCCTGCGTCACCCAAGATTGTTTTTACAACATCAATGGGTGTCTGGAAGTATCCGTAGGGAATGGTAGAGAGAGAGAGGCCGGGAGAAGGAGCTTCAAGGTATTGGCCGGTAAGACCGTTCAGCTTCCCTCCCTCACGACGTAATCATGTTCAGTTTATACCTCGGATCGGGCTGGCTCAACACAGCCTGGATCGCCCTCTCATCAAACACCCTCTCAAAAATCTCATAATCTGTCGGGACCGATCCTCCTACCGCAGAACCCGCAGATGAGCCCCCACTGCTCGAGGACGACGACGATGATTTCCCTCTGCTTTTGGAGCTGCCGGCACCGCCACCACTACTTCCCTTGCTCTTCTTGGCAATGTCATCCAGGATGAGCCTCATGGTGCTCTGCCTCTTATCCTCGAACACAAAAGCCGCAAAGACGAACTGGCCCCTCAAGTCCGGGTCATAAAGGAACACTTCCCTCCACAGCTCGGCCATCTCCTGCGGGGGGTTCCGACACCCATTGCCTAGGCCAAAGTCTCCGATGACTACGTATCGGTAGCCGTTGTACAGGCAGATGCGCAGGGCGGCGCGGAGCTTTACTTTGACAAGGTCGCGTTCCTGCTCGAAGGAATACTTGGTTCCCGAGTGGCTCAGCTTCGGCCAGCGAGTGGGGACGACGGAGACGACGGGGGTAGCAGCCCACTGGTCTTCCTTTAGGCGTTCGTAGCGATCGTGCAGTCCGCGGAAGACCACCACGTAGTTGGACATGATGCCGCCCTCGCAGGGAATGGGGTAGTTGCTATCGACCATGGACCCGGGCCCGGGCGTAGCCAGGGCCGCCGATAGGGTACTCCGGCGGCAGAGCCGTTCCTCGTAGCCCACCACGCCGGTTTCCCAGTCCCCCCCGGGCCGCTTCTCGTTGGCGGCGCAGATGAAAGGCACGCTGACGGACTCCCCCGTGCGCGCCGTTTCGGTGCGGGCCATGTGCAGGGCAAAGTCCACGGGGTCGCCTGTCGTGATGTGGAAGGTGGGCGGCGAGGGAAAGTTGGAGACGCAGCGGGGGATGGAGAGTTGTTGCAGGGGCTGGTGGTAGAGGTAGGAGACGGTGGGCCAGCAGGAGCCGTAGGTCTTTTTGATGTGGGGGATGTACTGCTTCTTGGTCTCGGCTGCTACTTCGGAGGCTTTGGGTTTGGAGGACTTGCCGGACTTGGAGGCTGAGGGGGCCATTTTTCGGGAGGCCGAGAAGGAAAGGGAGGAGTGAAGAATAAGAAGAGGTTTTGATATCTAGTGGCGATGATTGATGAGAAAGAAAACCAATAAGAGTGTGACTAGATGAGATGAGTAGGAAATGTCTAGTAATGAGAGGATATTCTTCTAAGCTGATGCTGTACGAACATGAGAAGATGAAGGGGTGAGACTGAGTAGATTAAAGATAGACATGAGTAGACGAGGAACAGACACACGAATCGACGGGATCATGGGCTCTCTATTTATGTTTGACATCGTCGACGATATCTCTCTGAACCACCCACGATTTACAACAAACGCGGGTGACCACCACTCCAGACTCGAATCATTCGATGCTCGCATTCCTCAAAACCCTCCCACTCGAGAGGAAAACGCCGAGATTGAAATTTGAACTCGACCCGAGGGAAAGGGAAGCAAGCGTGCGATTGCATGCAATCAATCCTTCCGTGGGAAGTTTCATTTGTTTTTCTTTTCTTCCCGACGGCCATGTCCCTAGAGAATTAAAAGGAAAGCTAAAACATGAGAAACAGGGAACATGGTCTAGCGGAAAGATGCATTCGAGATTAAAAAGGGTATTAGACGGTATTGGCCGGGCCCGGGTGAGAAATGAACCGGGAAGGCAAATCCTCATCCTTGGGCTTTTTGTTGGCGGGCACATCACATTCTTTTCCTCTCCGGTTTTTTTCTTTCTCATTTTCCTTCTTCACCCTTCGTGGGCTTGGCAAGAACCACGGCTGTTTGCCAGTGTTTTCTATCTTTCCCGTATCCAGTGACAGAGAGTCTCGAACTCAAGTGCTCCGAACCCGAGATCGGTCGGAGGGACCAGCTGTCTCGGCAGGGAAACAAACAATACGAAAAAAAAAAATCAGTGGTGGTTCGATCGCGACGATTTCAGAAGTCCGAGCCGGTTGAACGAAGAAAGGGCAACGAAGGGTGTTACAAGAAAACGAGATGACACCCAGAAAGGGCAGGTTACAAGAGAGGGAAGCCGTCAGGGCGTGTTCTAGATGGTCTCCCGCACAGCACAGTCCAGGACCTTCTCCTCTCCTTCTGGCTCACTCTCGTTCTGTAGGCTCCAGATACGGGATCGAACCGGTGTTACGCAAGATCTCTACGATATCTGCGGACATCTGCAGATCTCAAACAGGCAGACCGGGGACTAATCTCAGCCCCCGTGAGACTTGTAATTTTCCATCCATGGCTTGGCTTCTAGACCTACATTCGGGAGATTCTGCACTACTCTTCCTCTTTCTCATTATCTTTGTCTTTTTATTTTTGGATTGTCTCTCACTGGGGATGATCGACCTGTCAGATTCTCGTCCCCAGTATGTGTGAGATTAGCGAAGGGCTGATCCAGCAAGGCACAATGGCAACATGCATCCGTTACCCCCGTAGTACTAGATGGGACGGGGAAGGTCCTTGTCCCCGATGGCATGCTGCAAACAAGGGGGGTGGTCCGGATGAGATGGATGGCAAGAGAACGGGGCAGGGAATATTTCGATGGCCCCCAAGAAGGCTTGGATCCAATTCCGAACACACTCTCACCTGAGAAATTGGGACCGCGTGATAAGCCAGCAGGACGCAACGGCAAGGATTCTATTTTTCTTGATTTCTTTGAAGGGATCGGGCGTTGCGGTGGCACGTACTTTTTTTCGAGAAGCAAACATTCCAATCGAGATCTGCACGTTGATGCAGAAAAAGAGAAGAGAAGAAAAACGCGAGGGGGTGTTTGCTGCGGCCCCTGCCGGCGAATGAACTCGGGCCAGCGCCAAACCTGGACACACAACTGCGGTAGGAATGAGGAATGATGAATGACGGTCTCTTTTGCTCGTTTGAAGGTCTGAACCCTTGTTTGGGTTGCACTGCTCGTCTCACCGGTCACATCTAGAACGCCTCCCGGGACTGAACAGCCACCAAACGAGAGAGATACGAGCAGCCTCGCGGGACAGATTTCTGCTAAGAAGCGTAAAACTCGGATGAGCGAAGGGAGGAAAGAGAAAAGATCAACATAAAAGGAAAGGGAAAAAAGGTAGACCATCCCCAGGAAGGAAGGAGAACGTGAGATCGATGGAGGGCCTGGAAGGAAGAAGGCGTCCAGTTTCCCGGATATTTCTGTTCCAACGCAGATTTTCAGAGGAGTGAGAAGTGAAACGCCGGTGGCAGACTCTCACTCTGTTTTCCTTCTTGATTACTAGTGCAGGGATGGTGGGTTACACAAGGAAAGGTAAGTGGCCATCCGTAATCGGGGAAGACGCAAGGGTGTTGAAAAGCCGAAGGGAGGTACGATGTAAGAAGATTGGCCTGGAGTAGTATTCTAGCATTATAGCATTCTCGCTTGTATCCTGGATGGTGTCTGGCGAATAGAGCCAGCGTCGGTCATCGGGACCGGCACTGGCACCGGCACCGGACACGGGACCGAGTCGGATCCAAGCTCCGTCCAATATCCTTCTAGAAGCTCCGTACAGGATCCACTTTTCGCTGGAAGCACTGTGTTTTCCATGCCGTAACACCATTGCTGGAATGCTTCAGCCTCGGGACCAGTTTCAAGGGAGGGAGAAGGATTGGAGAATCCGTGCCGGAAATCGGACATTCGATAACAGACGGGAATGGATTTGCACCTTCAATTGAAAAAACAATGCATCGGGCATCCCGTTGCTTGTGTCTACTCCCTCTTCTTCTTCCTTGTGTTGGCCGTTTCCGGACCAGAGGTGGTCCAAGCTCCAGCAAGGTACATTTGTACATTTAGCAAAGCACGCCCACAAAGTACCACAGCTTATCGCTTATCGCATTCGCATCGCGTCGCTGAAATAATTTTCCCGGTTTCTACTTCGTTCCTGCCTCGTTCCACAGTCCCGCTTCAAATCACGAGAGCTCGGCCACGATCCTTCACTGCGACTATCTCGACTTCTCCGGTCTCTCCCTCGAACGTTCGACGCCGGCCATGCAAGGAACATCGCAATTGGGCCTCTTATAGTACGGACACTGTCAATTGACTTCATTCGGCGTCGATCCCGACACTGAGGCCCTCGGCTTTCTCCTCGACAATGACCCAGAGGCTGCCCGCCCCCGCAGCCTCGTGGCTTCTCTCGCCCGCCTGGAAGGGCTCACGTGGCCCCCTGCGGTTGCCCACCTCATACCGTTTGCTCTCGAGCCAACATGCTCCCCGAACCGTCGCCGAGTTCCTGCGTGCGGAGCCCAGTGAGAAGCTCGACGACGCCGTCGTTCACGGCTACGTCCGGTCTGTCAGGAAACTCAAGTCAGACAGGTTTCTAAATATTGGTGATGGGTCCACCGTCAAGCACCTGCAGGCCATTGTGCCAAAGACCCTTGCGAGCGAGTAAGCTTTCCTTTTTCATAAAAAAAGAAAAAGAAAAAGAAAAGAAAAAAAAAATAGAATAAAATAATGACACTGCTCTGTTTCTGTATCTCGCCTCTCTGTTCTCAGATGGTGGTTGACTGACTATTGTGATTTCTCCCTTTCATATAGACTGAGAGTGGGCACCGCTGTGCGCCTCCGCGGCTCTTGGACACCATCTACGGAGCACGAGAAGTTCCAAACGCATGAACTCAAAGTTAACGAGGTCGAGGTCTTGGGGCCGTCTGACCCAGGCGTAAGCTTCTCCCCTTCTTTAACTTGAACGAGAAAGGTGCTGCGGAGGGGGAGAGAAGAGGGGGGAGGGATTACATCGCGCCTACTAACACACGAGTATCTTTATAGAACTACCCACTTCAGAACAAGTACCAAACCCTCGAGTTCCTCCGAACCCTCCCCCATCTTCGATCCAGATTACCCCTCAACTCGGCCATCATCCGCATGCGCTCCGACGCCGTCGCCACTCTCACTCGCTTCTTCTCCGCGAGGGGTTACACGCAAACCCACCCGCCATTAATAACATCTTCAGACTGCGAGGGCGCCGGAGAGGTATTTACCCTCTCCGCCGGCAAGCCCAAGACAAATGAGCCCGAAACCAGTCGCAGTAGTAGTAGTAGTAGTAGCAGTAGCAAAAAGCTCAAAGAAGCGCAGCAAGATTCCTTCTTCCGCTCACCCAAGTACCTCACCGTCTCGACCCAGCTACACCTCGAGGCGCTCGCCCAGTCTGTTGGCGATGTCTGGACGCTCTCCCCGACCTTCCGCGCCGAGAAGAGCGATACATCAAGGCACATGGCCGAGTTTTACATGCTCGAGGCCGAGCTGACCTTCGTCGAGGACATGGAAACCGTCATGAGCCTCGCTGAGGACATGATCCGCGACCTCGTCGAGAACCTCGCCACAAACTCTTCAGCGGCGCAGGAAATCCTGTCCGCCGCAAACAGGGTCAAGGGCGACGTAGAGTCTATAATAGGCCCCGCCCAAGAACTCCAATCTCGCTGGGACGGGCTGAGGGCCAGCGCACCCAAGTGGCCCCGCATCACTTACACCGAAGCCATCAAGCTGCTCCAGGCAGCCGAAGAGCAGGAGCCCGGCCGCTTCGAGAACAAACCCGTTTGGGGCGTCTCGCTCCAAGCCGAGCACGAGCGATTCCTCGCCACGGCCGTCTCAGAACTCAAAACGCCCGGCTACCGCACGCCCGTCTTCGTGACGCACTACCCCCGGGACATCAAGGCGTTTTACATGCTCGAGTCGCACAGCAGCAGCAGCACCACCACAAACAACGGTGACGTCGCAAGCAGTAACACTAACGCAGATGCAAAAGTGACAGGTGGTCCTACGGTGGACTGCTTCGACCTGCTCGTCCCCGACGTGTGCGAGATTGCCGGCGGGTCGATGCGTGAGCACCGTCTGGACTACCTGCTTGAGGCGATGCGGAGGAATGGCATGGAGACACCAGCGAGCACGGCGAAGCCCGGCAGGAGTACTAGTAACCTGGACTGGTACGTCGATCTGAGACGGTGGGGGTCGCCTCCTCATGGCGGGTTCGGTCTCGGATTCGACAGGTTGTTGGTGTATCTTGTGGGAGCGCAGAATGTCAAGGACATGGTGGCATTCCCGCGGTGGTTTGGCCGCTGCGATTGCTAATGGGTGCAGTCACTGACAGGCCTCATTTTGTTGTGTTGCCTGTCTTTTCCTGTCCCGTCGCCGTCTCTGTGATGTGGTTACACCGGATGAGCTCGTTTGGTTTTCTCATTGGCTGATATCCTTCCCCAAGAGTTGTTTGCTTTTCTTTTTCTTTCCATGGCGTGTTCTGACGGCATGTTACGCTTAAACTTCTGTTTCCTTCTGGGATCATGCCTACTGCTTTTCTGTCGTCTTACCCACCCACCCTTCGGACATGCGCAAGTCCATCTCGCAGCCGAGCACTCGAACAAGTGCCGCAGTTCTCCTCATTGATACCTAACTATCATGACCCGAGATCCAAAATGGCCGGTGGGTAGCACAAGTTCCCCTCACTTCTATCACTTTAATGTTTGCCACCCGGAGGGAGGATGGTGGCATATGCAAGGTGCCATGGCAGTCTAAACTTGGCTTTGCGAAACAGATGGTGATGTTCATCACGTCGTGCAAGCCCAAGGGAGAGGAAGGACATGTGTGTTGCTATACGGCTCCAGCTGGCCTCTGGAAAGAGTGACAAGTTTTTTTTCTTTTCCTTTTTTTGAGCGTTGTCAGATCTATTTGTCAATGTTGGGGCCTTTGTGCGACCGTTCGGATTGCAGATGACAGGTTGACATGGGGAAATGGTGATGGGAGTCTTGAACAAGTTAGGTTTCGGGAAGTGCGAGACAGGAGAGATGTCAGGTTATACGAGGGGAGTATGTGTGAGGAGACGACAGAGGGAGGCAGTCAGGGAAGGGCGTCCAGTTGTTCGATGCAGTCCCTTGTTTGGAGGAACTTGGAAAGAGCAACGTCGGGCTCGGAAGTTCATCACGATGTCTCAGAGTCGAGGTTGCCGCGTTTTTGTTGAGGACGGGGGAAAAGTAATGTAGGATAGGTGTATGATGGCTGTTGCCTTGTACCATAAACGGGGATACACGATAGATGCGCTAGATAGACCTGATACACATCTCAGCCTTTTTACACTCTTTTGCTGCTGTATCTATCTTTGCATACGCCTCCTGTTGATTCGGCGACCGGTCCTTTTACCCTGAATGATTCTCATCTACCTCCGTCACCGCTTCTTCACGACGTCGGCAGTGGGCGAAGTATATGCCTCGTTTCTATCTAATCCCAGGCCAAAACTAGAACTACAAGAGAATCCGTTCAGCAGGGGACATCACGAGATGGAGGGAAAGGCTCCCAGGGAAAACATCTGCCTACACCCATGAGCCGAATCGGAGTTACGGTAGCGTTGGAAACAACATCGTCTTTTCACCCAGGCACAAGGACCTCCCAAGCAACGCCGTCTTTCTCCCGATGCCATCAGAGATAGATCGTAGATCTTCTTTACCTCATCTCCATCTCTCCAGCGCCTGCTCAACAGTTCCCACCACTGACGTAGCCCAATCCACCACGGGAGATTGACGACTCCTCGGCACAAACGACGAAAGGCGATGATATGAAGAGACTTCACGACCCGCAGCATCCGCAGCAAGGCAAAAGTCTCAACGTAGACTCTAGAGTAGTGTAGTGCAGTGTAGTTAGTGTAAAGCCGTAAATCCCTCTCTCCATCCGCCACATATCCACATTCCAACTTGACACCTCTTCAAAAGCGCGGCTTCGGAGATATAACCAAAATTCTACGATAAACTTCACACCCCCTTTGCCATCGCCGGATCCATAAAATATTAACGCCTAAGAATAACCTCACATCAAACGGCCATGGCCTCCTCAACCCCACCGCACCGGGGGTGGCTCCTAATCCTAACTTCTCTCCGAAACGACAAGATGCGGATGGACGAATCTCGGTGTTTATAGACGTCTTCTTTTGCCCTCTTCTCGTGAATAACAATACCGATTTTCCGAAACCAGAGTGGAGAGCCACGTCTCGAAGCTTTTAGCAAGCAGAGCAAAGGAAGCTAACGCCTTTTAGCGTTTTGACATGATAATTACAACTACAGCTACGTTATCTGAGAGCATCGAGAGGAATTAATAATGGGAACGGAGCTACGGGGAGTCGTAGGTTAAAGTTCGGAGAGGAGCTTCGAACCCGCTTTCTTTCTGGGTTCTAGTGTAAAGGATGAATATTTCTGGCCACCTCCTTTCCCTTTCTTAGCTCTCGGTGTGAAGGTGGCGGGATGGACTCCGGAGTTGGTGGTGAGGGAAGCCTTGTTTTGGTGCTTGATGTCAGTCTCTCTCTCTATATTGTTCGTACGAGGATGGTCTTGTTTTACGTTTGAAGCTTCGTTCGGTCGAGAAGAGGCAAGAAAGAGAAGAGAGGTGTGTCTCTAGGTGCGGGCTTCCTGTATATCCGGGCCACACTATTTCGTAGAATTAATGGCCTGGCCTGGTTTCAAACTCACACTAGCTTCGATATACACCGCCCACAGTCGAGGATGTAGTGGATTCCCAAGATATGCCGAGTGGGGAAGAGCAGACCCGGCTCAGAGCTGGACGAGGTTTGTCCCTGGTCCATGGCGAGAGATGGGCGAGAGGTGTGGTTTGCCGAGACGACCGCCGAAGACTTGCAAGATAGTTCACGATAGCTTGTTCCAAAACCACATTGCACTACTTACCGAGCCTCGCTTTCTTTCTTGGTCTAAGGAGGTTGGAACTTGTGTTAGTCTGGTGCAGTGCATAGCGTACTACACTACCAGCACACTATTCCCAAGCGTTGAGCCATGTTAAAAAGAAAAAAGAAAACCTCGACTGACCATGAGATCTCACTGCAGATTGGGATCTGCACTTCGTCTTGCCGAGTATGGCTTCGTAGACTTACCTTGCCGTGGGCAAATGGTAATAGTCTTGCGATATCTGCGTCTCACTTGCATCCAAGCCAATGAAGTAGTGGGATCGTTTCTTTCTTTCTTTTTTTCCAACCACCGTCCAAAATGATGTATCCATTGCATCGATAGCTTCAACTCCGCAGTAACGCCTGAATCCTTCCAGTCTCTTTTTAAGCCCGATCCGATCCGATCCGATCCATCCGGACCTCTCTGAATCTCTGAATCAAAGTAGATAGCCCCGGCGCCTTTTCCATAAAGGACTAAGACTGCTATCATCAGAGACCACGGGGGAAGTTCGAGTAAGAATGCAAAGTGGGTTATGGATAGAGAGTAATTTTTTCTGTAATTTTTTTTCTCTTCTTCTTTGGTCCTGGGAACATGCATCAGTGAACAGCTCCGGTTCCGCAACGCAGGTCACGGCACAATACAACCCAGCGTATTTCTTTTTGCTTCCTCCAGGAAGACTTTAGCGTATAAGCTTAAAACGCTATTCTGGGTGGGAGGGGGCAGAGTCCCTCAGCAAGGAATAACAAAATGTATTATGAAGTAACACTACGAAATGTGCTCACCGACGCTTGTTCTGCTTCTTTCCTTTTTCAGGGGGACGCAGAATGTGTCTGTCGCATCCAATAACCAATTGCCAATTTGCAGTGACCAAACATGAAGTCATGATGCGAAAACGAGAACATCGCCGACGCTCCGTTAAGGTTTCTGGCTCTGTCGAAGTGTGTCCATCTTTTGACTAGAAGAATCGTTGGCTGCCCACCCATCCATCCGCCCATGCGAGATTCCGGAGGGCTCGGCAACGACACAAACAGGAAAGAAGAGGAAAGGAAGCATCCGCAGCGGGAAACGATGCCGTGCTATACTCAGTACATGAATGGGCATTCACTATAACTCGAGATTAAACCCAGGCAATGGAAACGCAAAACCGACCTTGATCGAGCCACTTTGTGCTGGCGATCCCCACGTTGGTCCCTCCTATATCGCGCAAGTTAATGCGCCGGTAGTTGTATATACGACGGTAGAATAAGATTTGCTTCCATTGCTTCCATTCCTTCCTCGCGTCCGTTTCCCATTCATTAGATTTATTAGGTCATATATATCTTATATATATATATATATATGTTAGAGCTATACAAGAGGAGGCAGAATCTTATTAGAAAAGTTGCCGAACTTTCGCGATCTGCCTTGATTCGAGGAGCCGCAGATCGTGAGCAAAATGCAACAAGTTACAACCAAAAAGAAATCATGCCGCTTTGAAACAACCCTCCCCCTCCTCTTCCCTTGGCGGGTAGTGTTGTAACGTGGACAGTAACTGTTTGATGGAGGGCTCCTCCTCTTCACCCCAGGGAAAAATGTCCGAAGACGCGAAAGGCCGAGCTGGGTGGGGGAAAAGCCGATCAATAATCTGTGATCTTCTCGTTTGGGCCAGGCCAAGCATTGACGGCATTGGAACATGCGACGAGGTGTTAAATTTCTGGTTCTGGTTTTCTGTCATCTGAAAGGCATCAAATTCCCCATCTCACGACACAGGGGGAGGGTTACAAGGAGTACGGCGTGCTACTCTGCGGAGTACTTCGTACTTGGAAACAAGATCGTACAATGCGTACGGGGCCTTGGTACACAACGTACGAAGTACGCATATATCCCAAACCAACCAGGCAAGTCACTTCAAGAGACTCACAATCTAGACCCATTTGATATCGCCAGGGTTGGCGGAGTATTCGTCTTGTACTCCATAGCGTACAAGGGAGTAATGTCGCATCAAACATACGACGCCTCGTGGACAGACCCACTCGCTCCCGGGGGCCTCGCTAAAGACACTAGTGTACAGAGTAGTGCGCAAGTTAAGTTATCACCATTACCGCTTTACCACTTTACCACTTATCCGCAGTGGAGTATCAAGCGGTCGCAGGAGTCTGCTAATATTGAATTTGGGTAGGGGCTTGGCTTGGGCAGTGATGAAGCCGTCGCTCGTCGGCAAGTGAAGAGAAGCCCTTCCAAGCCCTTCCCAAGTACGAGGTACTGTCGTAGGGTCCCCAACTTTAACCTTGTTTGGAGGGAATTTGAGGAGCATCAACGAACGAGGGCTACAGGGAACAAGATAATGAGTGGAGGAAACTGTGGAGATGAATGGCGGACAAGAGTCTTCAGCCCCCGTCTCCCATCTCTGTAACCTGGCTTCTTTCGACGTTT